CTGCTGCTGCTGCTGCTGTCGCTCGTGCGGCAGGTCCCATCCGTCTGTGAGAAAACACAGGTGCTCGTGCTTTGACCGAAGCGCGCCAATGCACTGCGCTAGTGCGTCGAGGGCGGCCGCGTCTGTGTCGTTTCCGCGGCGGAATGCCTTGACAGCCTTTAGCGCGGCTTTGTAGCTCGCAAGCGGCGACCTGCAGGGAGGATGCATTTCTCACAAGTGTTGCTGCCAAGGAATGTGCAAGGGCAGCATGTAGAAAGACTCTGCATGGTGCAATGCCGCTCGTATGCTGCCTTGGAGCGTGTGCGCCACTCTTGCCGAGCGGCAGCTGCGCACGGCGCAGCATGGACGTCACACAGGAAAGCTTGGCGGCGGCCTGCAGCGCCGTTGCGGTTGCCGGCACAGCGTTCGGTGTCTATAGTGTTAACAGCCAATTCAATACTTCCGTTGCACACCTCATATTAGCTATCAGATCGCTAGATCTACTGTGGCGTGTACATTTGGGCAGGCCTGAACACCATATATAAATCAAGCATCTGATTCCGGTGAGTGATTGCTTGTACGAAGCTTCGAGCTCGGCCTCACGCCTGGCGGGACAGTGGGCCCCGCTGGTGCTTTGAGTGGCGTAAAAGATGTCTTTAGATTGGTTGATAGAAGCGTGTCAGGCGATGCTTGCAGATGAATTGGGCGATCCAAGGTATAGGAGGTACAGCTCGCTGCGCCATGTGCGCCTTTGACGCATCGAGTGCAGCGCTGGAGAGGTGCGCGCAAGTGAACGGCTCACCAAGCTGCCATGCACCCACTGCGAGATGCCGCATACACTATAACGGCCTTGCAGAGACGAAGTCCACGGCACAGCAGTAGCCACAGCGACAGGATTGCAGTGACGGGAGCAGAGCGCGGCGCGGACGAGCAGCGGTGCCCATGGCTTTGAGAACGGTTGTCGGTTCGCCGTGGATATAGCCGTGAATGCAGCACCAGCAGCTGCCACTTGCAAGTCAATTGTGCAGTACAATCCAGGCAAGCGCAGCATGCAGCAGCAGGACCATGAGCAGCAGGCGGCCCGTTGGCGTCACCCACGGATTGCCGTCCCCCACAACTGGGGTCAACAGCAGCAGCAGCAGCAGCAGCAGCAGCAGCAGCAGCAGCAGCCCCAGCCTCCTGCACCTTTCTTGCCGCACCAGCAAACGCCAACTAAGCGCAAGAAGGCTGCCAGAGAAGAGGCGGACCCGCGGGGGCCGCGCTACTTCCTCATGCGTACGACCAGCACACAGGACGTTGACCTTTCCAGGCACACCGGCGCGTGGGCAGTGCTGGACGGCAAGTCGACCACCAGGCTGAGGGCGACGCTGAGCAACGCTTTTGTGGCCAGCGAGGAAGGGGTTTTCCTGGTCTTCTGGGACAAGGCGAACGGTGGGTGCTGACAACACTTGGCTGAGGGCACCTCCTGTCATTGGCGGTCGATAGTCAGCTGCAGCAACCACAGCCATGCCCCTGCCTGCCAAGATTCACGAGGGCTATCAGTTCGCTGCGCTCAAACCGACCCCGATCCCAAAACCGGCCGGCCGCCGCAGATGTATTCTACGGCGCGGCGCGCATGACCACGCCGCCCGGCGCCGGCCCTCAAAACCTGCCCTGGACCGAGCTGGGCCAGGGGGCCGACGCCCTGGCGGCGTTTGGTGTGCGGTGGGAGGTCTGCACCACCCTGCCGTACGGCGAGGCTCGCGAGCTGCGCAACCCCTACAATGACAACCAGCCCATCTACGGCGGCGGCAACGGGCAGGAGATCCACCCCGTGCCCGGCGCCCGCCTGCTGGCCCTGATGCATGAACACGGGCACCCGCCGCCGGCCGCACAGCACCTGCCTGCTTTGCTGGCTGCGCGGCTGGGCGGGCAGCTGCAGGTGCCGCCAGCGGCGGCACCCTCTGCAGGGCAGCTGCCGCTCTCGCCAGCGCCTCTGTCGCCGCCTGGAGTGGCCGTGCTTGCTGCTGGGTCTCACCAGCACACAGCGCAGTATCTACTGCATCAGCATCTGCCACAGCTGCAGCATCAGCACCAGCACCAGCACCAGCACGTGGTTGTGCCCCAACTGCAGGAGGCGGCCTCCGCGCCATGGCGCCCGGTCAGCTACTTCCTTTTAAAAGCGGCATCATTGCGTGACCTGGAGCTGGCGCGGCAGTGGGGCGCGTGGCCGGCGCCGGCGCACCGATCTGAGCTGTTGGACGGTGCGTTTGAACGCGGGGACGAGGTGCTGTTCGTCGTGACGGGCAACAAAGCAGGTGAGGCGTGGTCGCTTTCTACAGAAGCTCAAGCAGGCGCACCAGGGATTCCAGGTGGAGACAGGCCGCTGAGACGTCTTGCATGACGCCCCTGCACGTTGCGTGCTCACGCGTGCGGGGACGCCTGCAGCCTGGCGCACGCCAGCCATCACTTGCTTGTGCCGCGCTGGTCTTGAAGCGCGTGCTGTGGCAGGGCCTCAACCACCCCATCAACTCCTCATTCTTGCAACCCTCAGCTTCCGGCGGCTTCTACCATGGGGTTGCCCGCATGACCACGGCCCTGGGTGGCGGCCCCCAGGATGTCCCCTGGGCGGGGCCCTACCCCCCAGGCGCCGCCGAGCGCGCCTTCGGGCTCGAGTGGCTGTCCGCTCGCCTGCTGCCGTGGGCGGCGGGCGAGCACCTGACCAACAACACGAAGCGGCGGAAGGGCAAGGCGATCATGGTGCACGCGTGCGTCGACGGCGAGGACCTCCACCCTGTGCCAGCGGCACAGCTGGTTAAGTTGATCAGCAGCAGCCCAGAGCCCTGGGATGTACCCGAGTATGGGGAGGCGGACGAGCGGGCGGGCGAGATGGAGGGCGGGTATGGGCACCGCCACGGGCCGTGGGAGCAGCAGCAGCAGGAGCACGAGGAGGAGGAGCAGCAGCAGCACCGGGGTGGCGACGTCCCGGACGGCGATGTGCATATGCAGGAGCGGCGACCGGGCAGCGCGGGGGACTGTGGCGCAGCCGCCGACGCCGCGCGGCGGCGGCTGCTGGTGTCGAAGTCGCGGGCGCGGTGCTTTTTGCTCAAGTCAGCCTGCTTTGACGACCTGGGGCTGTCGATGCGCTGCGGCGCGTGGCCCGCGCCAGCGTGGCACCCCGAGATTCTAGGGGAGGCGTTTGAGCGCGGGGACGAGGTTCTGCTGATCATGAGCACGTTCAAGAAGGCGGGTGGGTGGTTTGGGTGATCTGGTTACTTGGGGGCTGCCCTGCCTGCTTGGGCGTGGCTGGCGGCCGGGGAACGTGTGTTGTTGTCAGTGTTGAGTCGGTCTCAGTTGAACAAAGCAGTGGCGCCATGCTGCGCCGCCCGCTCATCATCCTTGGTCTGCTGTTGTCCGCGTCGATCCGTCCCAGACAAGCACGCTGCCCACTACCATGGACTCGCGCGCATGACGTCACCCCTGGGCGGCGCCCCCCACGACATCCCCTGGGGCGGGGCCCTGTCTGCTGCAAGCACAACTCAAGCGTTCTGCGTGGAGTGGCTGCTCTCGCGCTGGCTGCCGTGGGGCCACGCGGAGCACATCCTCAACAATACCACGCGGCGTGTGGGGCAGCACATTACACTGCACGCATGTGAGGACGGGGAGGACTTGCACCCAAAGGCGGGCGCTCTGCTGATCAAGCTGCTGCTCAGCAGCCCGGCCTCGCAGCCATGGGAGCCTGAGGACGGCCCCGTGCAGCCACAGACACAGCAGCAGCGGCGGCAGCAGCAGCAGCAGCCGGAGGCGCAGCAGCAGCCGCAGTTTCAGCAGCAGGAGCAGCAGCAACAGCAGCGGCGGCAGGAGCAGCAGCAGCAGCAGCAGCAGCAGCAGCAGCAGCAGCAGCAGCAGCAGCAGCAGCAGCAGCAGCGGCAGCAGGCGGCGCCACCCGTGCAACCGATGAAGGCGGCGCACGCGCTTGGGCAGGGCCCTCACGAGGGCACACCGACTTCCGGCGCTACCACGGTGCCAGCAACAGGGCCTGGCGGGGCTGGTGTTGATTCGCTGACGTTTGACGAGTTTCTCGAGGCGTTCAGGTCGGTCAGGCGGCGAATGCGCCAGCTGTCAGAGATTGGCGGCCAAGGCGACGGCGGCGGCGGGCATGGGATGGGGGACAAGAAGGCAGGGGACAAGCGGCCGGCATCCGCGGCGTTTGCGGCGCATGATGACATGGAGCAGCAGCGCCAGCAGCAGGAGCAGCAGCAGCAGCTGCTGCGGGGGCCATCGCTGCTGGCGCTACTGGACGGCGTGGACCTGGCGCCAGAGCTGTGAGTTTTTCGGGGGGGTTGAAGGGTGCCTGCTGGGTTCTCACGTTGCCGTGTGGCGGAGCGCGCACTTTTTGGAGCGCAGCGCATGGTGCTTTGGTGGTCATGATGTGGGGATAAGCCGCCTAATTGTGACCCCAGAGCAGCCCGACGATGTTTTTTGCGACGATGCCGTTGAGCTTTGCAGACGGATCACCTGTCTGAACCCACCCCCGCCCCGGGCACCCACCCGCCTCACCCC